TAGTTGCGCTTTGCTTTATGTAGTTGCGATTTCCTTAATGTAGTTGCGCTTTTCTTTATCTAGTTGCAATTTCCTTAATGTAGTTGGAAAAAGTCAGAATTCTGACTTTAATCTCAGAATTCTGACTTTTTTCTCAGAATTCTGACTTTAATCTCAGAATTTTGGATCTTAATGTAGATGGGTACCATAAAAAAAGAGATGTGGGAGCACTCAGCTTCACTGACAAAGATTTGAGTAGTTGTTTGAGGTTGTGCTTTGCTTTATATAGTTTTGTTTTTCTTAATGTAGTTGCGCTTTTCTTTATGTAGTTGCGATTTCCTTAATGTAGTTGCGCTTTTAGATTTGTAGTTGCAGCTTGCACTTCAGGGCCACCGTACTTTTAACCTTTTCAACTTGACGATTTGGACTCTATTGCCAACAAAATTACGAATTTTCCCTTTTTTAAAAAGTTGCAAAATACTCTTTACTGAATTGAGTGGTTGTTTGATGTTTATTAGATAAAACCCTGTACCTATAAAATTAACCTTGCCATACTATCAAATGTGGTGTAAAATATCAAGTTTTCTTAGTGTCTGAATCAACTTTAGGATTTTAGTAATGTGAATGTGACAACCAAACACTCAGAGCCTAATCTTCGTCTAAATTAGTGCTAAATCAGGTGGGCTACAAAAGAAAAATTATGTGTGCAATAAGTTTTTAGGTTGCAGGTGATTTACAAAGATTGCAAAGGATAAGAGTTTCAAACAGTCATATTCAGCCCTATACAAAGGGGTAAATTGTGTGTCCTGGCATTTTAAGAGTGGACAGTTAAGAAGGATGAAATTCCAAGGCATTAAGGTGATAATGACATGTATTATTATTTATAGTACACCTTACGTACACATCAGTATTTTAAATTGTTAAGAACAAAAACAGAAAAACGAATAAAGAAGAGGTACATTTTAAAGATGAAGTATCAAGCATAAAACCTGGAAAAGCTGACTTTGTCATGTCCTCTCTAACCCCCTGTGACATAAAAGAAACCATAATCATATTTACATGTAGATTACTGTCAAAACAGCTGGATTTACCTCCACCAACTCATTACAACCTCCTCTTAACCCAAAATATTGCAAACCAAGGTAGGCCCATAATCGCCTTGTGCAGAGCCTTAAAAAACATTGAGGGAGAAAAGAAATCCTTCTTGCCACACGTTAGTGATGTGTGCTTAAGGTGGGAGTGCCTGTAAGCTGATGCTTCTCTATGGTAGCTACTAAAGGCGTACTATGCAACATTTTTCAGTTAATTAATGTGTTCCATAACGTTTTGGATGATTAAATGAGTCATTTCAGGTCGAACAAAGGTTTTCTCGGCCGCCCTGGTGGTC